TCCATCTTACCTTTTACTTCAACAGCAGTGAAAGCCTCGATAAAAAAATTTCCTGCGCTTGTAGCAACGCAAACATAATTTCCAGCATCCTCAAGTTTTAAATCCCTGATGACCAGCCTTTCCCTTGACACGATACTCCTCCCCACGGGAAGTTCTGCTTGTTGTCTTTTCCAGCTAATGACCGGCTGTCCATCACCCTTCACGCTGCAGTTCAACTTCAGAGTTTTTCCTAAAATGACTGAAACTTTTGCAGGCGGCTTAACGGTAAACTCCGGAAGAGAGACCACGACTAACAGAGTTTTTCCGATAGCTTTTCCAAGAAGGTTTGACGCCGTACATACGTAATTGTCAGAATCACTCTTACGCACACCAAATATTTTCAACGCGCTGTCGTTATACTGTACCCTCCCCTGAGGTAACTGACCAAAAGGCTTGATCCACGTGACCTGCGGACGCGGGTAGCCAGTCACGTGACAGACTGGAAGGGTGATGTCACTCCCTTTTATGGCGTACAGTGGCCCCAGATTAATAGACACCTTTGGTCGAACTATGACAAAAGAAATAACAAAGTTACATATTATTATGAAACTAGCTTTCTTCAAATATTTGCAAGTTACCGTAAGAGGTCTATTTTAAGCCCCTGCCCGGAAAACCAACGTTTTCTCAAGACCTTTCACACGAAGGAGAGAATGGGAGTTAATAGAAAGGGTTTTTTTTCTTTTAAGGAGGTTATTTTTAATTATAATGAATATATTGTCATTGTCATAAAAACAGCCAGCTTAAAGGANGGTCCAGGTGGGCCGGGAGGGCCTGGTCGACCACAAGGGTTCGCCAGATCCTTTGATTGACATAATTGTAATCTACCGTCCGACATGAGTTCGTTGATTTTAAGCATCGCGTCCGCCGTAAGTTTTTCTTCCGTCGTCTTTTTGACCGAATCTGCTTGTCTTCTGTCCCTATTAGATCTACCGTCGTGGAACTCTATGAGAAAAGAAAACAATAGCCATGGTTCACCAGAACGATTGGAGTGGTGAACAATTTAAATTTAATTAAGTACAAGTGCATTACTTATATAAATATCGTTCTACTCCTTTTACAAATATAACATTCCTTTACGCGTTTTACCAAAAATCCATGGGGGGTTTTTGGTAATCCCAATCCGAAGAAATCATTATCTGGTGGATAACGAAGATAGCCTGATGAAACAAAGTACGGCTTTAGGCTAGGCGGCCCAATGTCAACATTTGCGGATTGCGATATGAACAGACCATTCTGGATGTATATTAATATTTACGGCTAACATCGCTTATTAGTCGGTGCAGTTAATTAAAGAGCATCGTTTTAGCGCATCGTTTTTATTTTAAAAATTTGTATATTAAGACAGGAGGGATTTTCAGGGCCTCCTATT